GGGAGTGGGCCAAGTGTCATGTGTAAGAAGGTGTGTTAGGATGCAGTCTGTGTTTCACCCCTTATCTGTAAATCTTACTGACTTCGCTGTAGTTCTCGCTAGTGAAGCCGATGCTAATAATACCATTATTGGAATGCACCGGCCCGCCGAATCATCCGAAAAATCGGTTTGGAGGCCTCGTTGTCACTAAGCCGTAACTAAAACATCAAGTTCACCTGTATTAGTGCTCTAAAATAGCTGTATCCAGCATTTCTTCATGAATCAAACGAAGCGCAGTTTTGCTCTTTTCAGATGAGTTTCTTCTGTCTTTGTACCTCGTTGGCTTGTCTACTCGATTATATATTTACATTTACGCTATTTGCGCCAGTTCTTTATATTACCGAGAAAACGGAAGATGGCTATATAGTGGCGAAGAAAATTTCAAAAAATGAAGAGGTAAAGAAAACCAATTTGATGCATACACCTCAAAGCCACTGCCAAAATTTTTGCTTCCCAGTCCGAAAGCCAAGCAAAAAGCAGCAAAATCTTTTCACAAACCGAATATGCCATTACTTTAGCGCTGTAAAAGATTCACAGTTTAATAGTCATGCTGGCAGCAATACTGCTTTCAGGATCATAAGCCATGTATTGAAAGTTACGCCAGACTGATCTGCTCATCCAGAGGCCGGGCAATTGCTCTGGCGCTTCTTGTTGTTCTGTATTTATCGTCAGCAGTGGGAGTATGGAAGATGAAATCGACGTTCGAACCAGCCAAAGCTTTCCCATCCGATTCACCACTGGCCAGCTCATTCAACGCTGTCAGGCAAATGCTATCCAACAACTTAAATTTGAAAAAAAAAAATGTTTGAAAAATATGTCTGATACAAAAATTTGAAATTTTTCGGAATCTTTTTCGAAAGTTTGGGATTTTTTTCCGCGTATATGCAAAGTATAAGTGGCGCATAATATGTATAGAAAAGACAGTAGATACAAACTGGAGATATGCAGCCTAAGATCAGAGGACCTGGCAAAACATATGGATTCATTCTGGTAGCATTTCTAACATGCACACACAGACAAAGATAGTCCGAGGAGTCTTACCAAAAAAATATGGCATTTTTTGCTCTGCGAAAAATTTTAGAACTAAGAAGAATTTATATTCATTCTGCGCATATATAGGAGTTTACAAAGAATCTCTGACTTCTTCCCTGCAATTATTTGAAATTTCAGCTTCTGCC